TACTTCATCCGAACGTGGCGGCTGCATGGTGGAATATTGCCGTTTTGGGACAACTGCAACTGTGTTACTATCCAGGATGATAAAACTGGATGACAGTTGTCTAAAATAGAACTATTCCAAAAAATAATTTCACGTCACATTCCAAATGAAGTACGCAGCCACGCCCTCTCCATGGCCGAGACATGGAGTACACTTAACGTACAGGGACCTGAAAACGTCCATCTCTCAGAACAACGTCATTACTCACCGTGGTCACTGGTTCAATACAAAAGGGCGCATTATCGTTGACATCATCCACCTCGATCGTCAGATTTACGGCCGTGATTTGTGACGGTGAACCGTGATCAAATGCGATCACCGCATAGCTGCAAACATTCTCATGAGCAGAAGCGAATTTTGAATTTTTTCATTGGAAAAACTTGGAAAAATTCCATTAGCATTAGACAAAAAAACTTTTGATGAAAAAACCCACCGGAGAACATCGTTCGCCTCACGATCTAATGGACGTGCAAGGGTTAGTTCACCAGTGTTTTCGTCTACTCGTACGTAATCGCCTTGTCCTCCAGCTAGCCGATATCCGACCCTTCCATTCTCGTCTCCATCATCGTCAGTTGCTGTCAGTTTCAGCAGAGACGTCCCCACTTTGGTGTCTTCGCTCACATGAATGCGATACCAGTGCTGCAATTGAAAACCTTAGCATGGTTGCTGAAAGTTTCAGAGGCAGAGACTGAAGCACCATCATAGCTCATTTCGGAGCTACTCCACTAACCACAAGTACACCTTTAGTGAGGTCACGATTCTTCAAGTTATATTTTGCCCCTTCCCACCAACTATCTTTCTCAAAGAAACCGGGGCTTTATGTAGACTACACCTCAAAAAAACTTCTCTTCCCTTTTCTAGAAGTTTCAGAAAGAAGAAGAGATTTTATGAATCCTGCTTTCTACACACCGGGCGACATACATAACCCTGATCATAGCTTCACAAGGAGATCAGGTAAAGTGTTCAAAATGCTGGTTTTGTAGTGAAAAAAACCTCCCTGATTCCCTTTATCCTGCTCTATATCCTCCCTAACATAACCGTAATACTTCCTTGCCGCAAGTTCGGCATGACCTAGGTGCGAGAACAACATTTGTGAATGCAAGCATTGTGCGCAAGCCCCTCAAAGCCTACTCTGCATCCTTAAACACAGCTGTAATGTAACGCATTTGCAGGGTAATTCACGGAAAATATACTTGATTCTTCCGACCAGGGTTCCTCTCTGAAAGGATCTGTAAAATGAAATCGCTGCAATCACCAGATGGCAACCGGCTTAACCCTGCTGAGATATTTAAGGCTGTCAGTTTCGATCTTTCTTTAAGCTCCTTGGACGGCACATTATCACAGCGATATGTCACAAGCATAATACAGGAATATAAACAAGTAACTAAATAAAGATTCCTTTGAGAAAACAGGGCCCAATAAAAAAACACATACGACCGAGTCACATATCACCAAGTTTTCGCAGGTCGTCCAGACAGTAGAACTGATACGACTACCCGGCAGAAGATACCTCGTAAGGTATTTCCTCCATGAGCGGAGCTGGCTCTTATGCCCATCAACTTCAGTGTACACTCAAGAAAAAGAAGTGCCATGCTCCAGCCAGCCTTTGCCTGAGAAGACCTTTGATCCATGGATTACCGCTGCTGGACATCTACTGGAGACCTAGTATCTCGATCTGGAAGATAGACAACACGAGAGCTCCGACCGGAAGCGTCGTTAGGGAGAAACAGTGACTTTTTTCATCCCCCCCCCTGTATATCGTACAATACCCCTGAACATCCAGTCCCAGTAAAATTTAATGTGTTCGTTTTCCAGAGGACATCCCTTTTCCCACACTCATTCTCTATTCCCTCCCTCGCCAAGACAATTTACTAGCCTCTCTACTCGAGTTACGCGAATGCACTTGAACGTCTGAGAGAATCAGCGAGAAGATTCATTGTGACTGCTTTATCTCGCGAGAAATCGCCTAATCCCTTCCCAGTTGCATCGTGCATCAAATCAGCGCAGCTCACAACCGCCGCGGCCACCATCGACATTGACCACTAGGGCGAACGCTTCTTAAGTGGGAATACTGATGGATCACTTTATTAATCCCTGCTCATTAATAGTGTCACTGACACACTATAAAACGCTAATTCTCGAGAGAAATATGTGGAGGCCACCATTGTTTCGGAATGGAATTTGGCGCAGTCCGGCTGGGGGAGGAGGACAAGTGGTCTTACAAACTTCAATTGATATCACTTTGTGGCTTCATGAAATTCCACAAATCTCTCAGATCTCTACTTAATGGCCCAACAGGACGAGGGGAAGTATCGGAAGTGCAAAACGCTCCCCACCTTAAGCCGATTTGCGTCTGGAATTTTAACAGAAACAAAAACTCAAATATGTTAATCAGCTTGAGATTGAGATTTACGTTCTAATTTGGAAGGCATTCCTCCAATAAATCAATCTCTAGGGTTGTGTAGCGGTTCGTGGGGTCATTTACCACGCGAAAGACCGGAGGATCACATTTCAGATTTGCCACTGCCCTGGCCAGCCAGGCCTCTATCCCACCGTGGTCAGCTAATTTGCACCAAACTGGCCGTTGAGAGAAATCTTCAACACATGTTGTATCCCGCAAGTCATTGTACAGACCGCATCAACCATACCAAAAATGACTACAACCATAAACCATAGTAAAATGCTTGGCGCATCTCGAAGTAGGTTGATCCGGGGAAAAGCTCTTTTTTTTATGGGGCGCCCGCCCCCAAGGAGCAGAAGTGCAGAGATTTTTTCTACGTTCTCTTCTTTCGATTTTGCTACTCTACTCTTTCCAACTCGCTCCATTTCTCACTGTCAGGCTATATTACGCCCATGGGGATCCGACTTCATGATCGGCACTCCATCAATCGTCTGACTCGTTCGGTTTTTCTTTCGCCGCTGTTGTTCTTACGTTGATCCTAACTTCATCACTATCAAGAACTTCGTGATTCTGCGGCTAAAAGCTAGTAAGAGTGGTCTGTTGATGGATGGAAGGTTTCACCCTGGCTTACCGCAGGTCCACACTTTCGCGCCAGGGAGGACAAACTACATAGTATAACTTTTACGCCACAGAATGCGGACTCAGGCTGGGCCGAATTAAGTCATTAAGTAATTAGTTATACGCTTGGTAGAAATAGTCCTAACGAGCCGCAGATAACAATCACCAAAATAAAGGTGCTTCAAAGCGAATGGGGGTCGCGAATCCGGCATTCTTCGCTAATGCCCTGTGAAACTACACGCTTCATTCAGATGAGACCTGCAGACTCTCCAAGTGGAGGCGAAATTCCTACCATTAAACAAGTTTTACAAGAGAAATATAAATATCCAGCATACCACTGGTGCAATAAGAACGCATCGAATGCCGGCGCCACCATGCAAACTCGTGGCGCCAAAAAATGCTACCCTGGGAAGTATAAAACTATAGTTGTAGGGCTCGAGAAACATAGTTAAAAAGCAGCGCGGGTACAAAAGAATTTCGAATTTTAATGGCAGAATGCTCTGTGGCAGACGCACGAGTATTTGAACCTTGAACCCTAATTCCGTCTAGCCTATTATGCCACCAATCGCACTACAAAAACTGGTGCGACCCTTCCCAGCTCGATGGCCCTCACCTTAGTTCAGCCTGCAACGTGAGGACCAGGTTCGAGCCCTACCAAATGTTTCGCCCATCAATCAACATCTTTGAGATAATATCCGATAAACAGCTTCTATAGAAAAAAAGACTATTGAAGGCTCAAAGCCAACAGCTCTTTGCACCCCCGTTCCCTCACCCCTAATCACTTTCCCATAATTCCATGCCTGCCTAGTAGGAGTGCGCGACCGGATACCTGAGACTCTCGACCTCTCCGGACATGCCCATTGAGCCAATCCATTAGCTAATTACGCTCAAGGAGAGGTGAAGAGCGTAGTTACCACTTATCGGTCATTCCCAGGAGTACGAAGAAGATTAGCAACAGGAACAAGTACTACCGGAGGAAGAGGAAAGGGTATCATTGTAAACAGGAACCCACAGGAGGACTCATCTGCCGTTTCCAGACTAAGCCCCCACCCATTCCTCCAGCAATTTCATTGAAACTGCCGAACCAGTTGTTCTCATGAGAATTTTGTTAGAAAAGTACAAAAAATAATGAAAAATAACAAGTAAGCAATAGGGTCCACACTGCCAAATACAAGTAACTTTACTTCTTAGAAATCACGGAATTTCCCAGAAACGTTAAAAATCTTCAACACCAACCTCTTCAAACTCTGGCGCATTGTTATTGACATCCTTGATGAGAACTTTGACAGTGGTTTTGGAGCTTTTCCGTGGTGATCCTTCATCCGAGGCCAAAATTTCCAAGTCGTGAGGCACCGATGCAGTGCCTGGTGATAGCAACTCACTGAGATCACCGGCTACTCTTATCACTCCAGTGGCAGAGTCGATGGAGAAGTAGTCATCCCACAGCGAATAGCGGACCAGACCACCATAGCCAACATCTGAGTCCGTCGCCGAAATGGCTGAGATTGCCTGAAAACAAATCCTGCCTAGTCGTAGGTAAAGATCGGGTAACTCTCAAGGGTCACGGATAGGGTGAACCTGTTGATGGCTTCCTCTCACAGAGAAACGTCACATCTCATCAGAATGACTCCTTCAATATAACCCTGCAATCTCAACTAATGTAAATCCCCCCCCCCCTCAGGGCTAGATTCATGGGATTAATCTCCCATGGCCCAAATTAGTGGGCTAATCCACTGAAGTGGTAATTTACTGGCATTCATACATCGGGTTAGATCGAACTGGTTGCAAAGTGCTATTCTCCAAACACCCGAACTCATTATTGCACAATTACGACGGCGTCGAAAACCCATAAAAATTCCTCAGATAGGCCTCAATTACCCAGATAAACTCCTATTCCGATGGAATTCAGAAAAGGTGTTCACGTAGAGTAAACCACTTTGCGGGATGTTGTCTACAGCTTTTCTTCAAGAAAGAATTATTCTACCTGGTAAGGCGCTGTAGAGCTAAACCAGTCTTGTCCCAATGGTTGCGGATTAGATGGCTTACCCAACATGCAGAGTTCTCCAGGTGGTTGACAGGTTACATCTCCGTTTGGAAAAAAACCCATCAGGGAAGTTAGCACTCTCTCTTCTATGGGGTGGGGGCGGGGGGGGGGGGGGCGAAGGGAAGGGGTTATATCAATTCACTGTCGCTGAGATAAAATAAGAAATCCCTCCAACCTGATCTTTCAGATCAATTTTCTCATTCTCACCACTCCACTTTTCTCATGTTTCCCGCAAAAACCCTTTCGTGAAGCAGGGCGGTTGAAGTGGCCAGGTTCGACCCGCTTATCTCTCGCAGTCAGGGGATCAACATCTCGGAACAGTCCCCCCCCCACGCTGACAACCCTACTGCTTTCGGCGTGGTGTAAATTGTCGTACCAGATCCGTGTGGAAGGGTGAGAGTGATTGCACATATTGTATAGCGCATACAATAAACCCGAAGAAGGAATGCGTGCCGCATCCCAAAAAGGGATTGATCACTGGCCAAAAGACAACCCTTCTCCTGTAGCTCGACATTGCTGGCTGGGTTTTGGCTACATCTGTAGATCAGCTGAAGTTCTTGCAGAGAAACACAGCAGAGCCTGCTGCTAAAGTCTACCACCCCACTCATTAAGTACAGCACTTTTCCCTTGGAGCTATTCCCATGAAGTACACTTCTAGGTTCATCCCGAGTCGACTGCCGCTCCGGGCGAACAAGCCACCTACCCTCCGGGAACAGCAAACTGGTACCAAACTCGTCCAATTTTTATTTATTATCCATTTTCATTCACATCCAAAAAGAACCAGAAGGAAGATAATTCAATCCATATTCACCACCTGGTGACCCCACTTCACCCTGGAACCTGATTAGTCCGACTCCGCTCATGCTCTGATTCTCATCCCATTCAGAAATCATCTCTTCACCTCCCGTACAATCGGAACACTTTCTCAATGGTTACTTGACCTAGTGCTCATCTTTGTGCGTGACGCAAATAAACACGACGGGCCCTACACTGCTTGTTTAATCTATGCCACTTACCATCTGTCGTTCGTATCTAACAATACCGTCTGCTCAGGTCAGGTCGGATGGACGCGATTTGGCCGACGCTATTACGCAAGAAAACCCACCGTTCCAATAGCGACATCCTCTCCAATCTCCACAGGTCCATGGAAATCCTCAAACACGGCTTCCATGTTTTGTTCGCCGGTTTCGCGATCCAATTACTGGTTTCGGTTTTGCTGGTACCTGAACATTCAGAACTGGTTAGATAGCTCGCTTGAGAGTACTTTCTCAGTTTTCTGTGAACAGTCTCTATCACAACTGGAATATAAGAAGAGAACAAATAAAAGACGGTGGAAATTCGGGAAGCGCAGGGGCATAAGCGATGCAAAACGAGTGACTGTACATGGTGGCATATAAATTCTTGTCAAGGTTTCCGGACATTTTCGGCGCTGTTCGGCTTGGGAGGGTCACTTGAATTTTCACCTATTCCCTTTTACTAGTTCATACTAATATGTGACATTGGGTTAAAAACCTGCAGACTCTTCGCAACTGTCGATAATGAGCTGAATTGTGAGCATTTGAAGTTTTACAAGATTTTACAGGATCTCACAAGGTGGCCTGTAGAAGTTCCGCTTTCCGCTGGCTACCATTAGGTGTCCCCTCCGAGTCAAACACCGCCCCACTTTCAAACATCAGCACTACTACACTTTCTTTCTTGCAGGGCTCAACATCGCAAGGGACTCTTCAGCTAACAGGACATGTTTCATTCCTTGGAAGAGGGATTTCAATCGGCCTTACGGAAATTCGATTGTGGATTTTTTCCGTTTTAGGTGCGTTATAGAGGCATTCCCAGGCCCTCCCCCCCCCCTCTCCGCCATTGTTGAAGCATGGGCGTTCTGCAGGCACCATCATTAAGGCGTCTAGTCCGACGCCTTTCCTTGTTCCCTCACGATCGAGCTGTCGAGCACGGGGAGAGGTAATCGCGAGGAAAATACGACTCCTCCCATCGTCCTTCCCCATGCTACCTACAACCTTACTGATTTTCTTCCCAACTTCTAACCACTATTTTCCAGAATTTCCCAAGTATTCCCCAGTTTCTCCGCCCTCCTCCAAGAGCTCTGCCGTCGAGCGCAAACGGGGAAAGGGGAGGAGGAAACTGGGGAAACCACTACTATTTGCATGCATTTTGGTGGGATACCAACATTCGATGCCTTTCATTGTGTCCATTTCCTTCCTTCAGCCGCTTGGGGGGGGGAGGGGCCGTACTTTGAGAAAATCAATATTTCTATGATATGCGCTGGTTTCTTACTCCATTGCACAGGATTTAGTAACTCCGAACTCTAACACTTGACCCTCAAAGCCCACCTGAACGCTTCTACAACTGCCCGACCCCCTCTTTCCCCTTCTGCCCAAGACTTTCCAAGGAGCCTTCCCAAAAACACTTTGCAATTCGAAAAAAAACTACAGTATCTCCGTCTCACCCTCGTTCCATTCCGATAAAAAACCAAATTCAACACTGTGGATCTTGGCAAAGGTCGTCCAGCATCCACTGCCCATACAGCAACACTCCATTCATTATCACCCGTTTTCAAAGGTGCCGACAACGAGATCTACAAGGAAACGACAGCTAATTAATGAGATTCGGAAAGAACAGACACAAGAAAAAAAAACTCAAATGAACACCCGCTCGCACGAGCGCCCAAATTACCTCGCCAGTTTCAAAGTTGACAGCAAATGGCACATGAGAATCCGACGATAATTTATAGCCTATGCGCGCATTCTCGCCTGAATCCAAATCAACGGCGTCAACCTAAAGTACAACAATTTGGCCTTTGGGTCATCACTTCCGACCAGCGAAATTCCCCACAAAATTCAGAAAAAAAATAATAAATCACCTTTAGGATGACCGTACCAACGGCAGTACCGTTAGAGACAGCCACTGGACCTTGACGATTCCATTTGGCAGCCCAAACCGGAGAATGATCGTTCGAATCTTTTATGGATACGGTTACAACTATAGAACTCTGACCACCGAAGCCAGCAAGCTGAAAGGGAACTATCTTAGGCAAATTAAGTGATAAATTTGGTAACAGTAAATAGTAGTCGTTGTAGTGTTTATGAAAAAAAGAAGGGCGCAGTTTGGCTTGGCGGGTCCAAAAAGCGGTACACAGTGAAGCTTGTAACCCACCCTGTTGAATTCTTGCAACCAAAGAAGCTCAAATGTACACTTTACAGCTTCACAGGAGTTCACACTCATCAAAAGAAAATGTTAGTAAACCTGAACTCGAGAGAGGACTAGCAAAAAAAAGCAAAGTGCCCCTCCCAAGCCGAACAGCACCGACAAAAGTAATAACGAATATTCAAATGAAAAATTTGTCGTTATAAATCTCGGCACAATTAGAATCTTAATGTATTTCTGCTAAAGAGGTTGTCCGAGCCAAATAAGCGGCCCACCAAGAATCTCGTTTGGCGGAAGCAAATTTTCCTCCAAACTATTCGCAAGAAAGTAGCAAACAACGACTCAATTGAAAACTATAAAAAAATAAGAAACAAATTGAAATCGATGGGCAATAATGTAAGTAATAACAAATTATAAAAAATAAAGAGCATGAGGAACAAGTCGGCCAAAAGGTTCAGTTATAGGACTCTTCGTGCGAAAATGAACCACTTTTAACTGTGCTGACAAACCCTTTTTGCATGGTTACGGGGCTTGTGTCTACCGGGGTGTTTTCCCGCTGCAAAGGTCCAGGGGTAGTTCCTCACGCATCTTTGGAGTGGGGAAACTAAGGAAGAGGGATGAGAGAAGAATGGAAGGAACCGCATTATGGCAGTCCCAGTTCTGCACGAACTTTATTCAAATGCCCCCTCCTAGCCGACTTGTGTCAAGCATGGAAATCAAAAAAGGAAATGTTAAGAATTCCAAAATAGAAAGAAACAGACCTTTGCTAATATGTTAAAATTATATTCCCTCTGTTTTTCATAGTCTAACAACTGAGCCACTCGCAACACTCCTGTCTTCTCGGACACTTCAAAGGGCACAGTCGCATTATCTCTCATTTCCAAATAATACCTAAAAAATCGGTATTTTCAAGGAAACCTTGGGTGAAGTATAACCAATGTAAGCAAAAATGGATAACCTAATATTTTTCTCATCCTGTTTGTACAACGCGCTAGCCGATACTTTTCCAATTACGTAACCAAGCGGCGCAGATTCATTCACGTGGAACGTCGCTGCTGCATCGTCAAATACGATCGAATGCGGCTCGCCAACTTCGATCTTAACCATCATTTACTAGGCAAAAAGTCACAGTAAACATTGCACTCGACTACGGTAAACTCTAATCACCTTGATATTCGCCGTCGTATTGACCATGCCACTTGAGGACGACTCTTGTCCAGCCGATATGGTGACGTTTGTTTGTGACGGGATGGAGCGGACCCTGGTACCTGTTAATTCGATAAACTCCAATACTGTTATCATTGAGCTCATAGGTACTGTGCATTACGATCGGCCATTAAACAGGGCTCTACACCGGGTACATGCATCGTTGATGCCGCTGAAACGTGGTGTAGGTGCGAACCGCCCCCCCCCCACCCCGAATAGGTGTGTTCATGTACGCTCCTCGCCCTAATTTAGGAATCCCCCTTTCTCCTAGGCATGTGCCTACTCAACTTCCCCGACTTTCTCCAGTTTATTCACGCAAAAGAGTATATACCACACATGAAACCGAAAAATCACGAATACGTCAACAAACAGGGGAAGGAGATTTTTTCTCCCAATTTTACGGCATCTTTTCGAAGGCCACATACGACCCTCCCTCCCCCACCTCTCACCCAAAAACCCAGCAAATGATGACCCCCCATCTCCCCATTAAACTTACCAAAACTCCCCTCCCACAGGCAGAAGTACGACCTCCTTAAGTGTATTCAAACAACGATTGCTGTACCCTGGCGCCTTAGATACGACTTTCACGACCCCTTGTTCTTCAAACAACATGCTTTTCGCTGGAATCAACCGTTTCTAATCCCTAATCCGATAAATTCAAAGTCTTGCCATCGCAATTTTTTTAATTTTTCATTTTACTGATCCCGAATAAAATTTAGCGATCCACGCCACTCTTCAAAATTTTATTCGGGATTCAGTCTACTGAAGCGGGAAGGAAATTTGGCCAAAACTCGTCTTCTGCTATAGTCTGACCCCCGACTCTGTTCCCAGAAGTTTCAGATCTTGAAACCCTTTTCCGCAGAGCAAATACAACCCCTTCAACGTCTATTTCAACAAAGACAGCTTCTAACACCCTCCGCCCCCATTGACTACCAGAAACTCCAAAATGAAAATTTCAGATCAATGACACAACTCACAGTGTATAGCTGCCATTCAAGACTTCCACTTTCCACCAGAGAAAACCAGTGCTTGAGATCGTCTTCAACCACTCCGACATAGATCGGTCCACCTGTCGATGCTTCATTTGATGGAAGATCCACTCGGATTGTTGCAGCTAATTGTTGAACATCTGATCGATAACCGTTTATAGGTTTGTTCGCCACCAGGAAGTTTCAGATGACGACGTTTCGACTCAGTTACCGTAATCTAAAAAGGGAATCATCGATGTTTACATAAGGATTGAATCCCTTGAAGAATTCTAACATCAAAACTTACCACCACATCTTTGGTCCATGCTGGCTGGATTTGGTCAGGGATCGTCGTAAAACAACCGCGATGTCCGATCTTCAGACCGCACTTGCAGATGATATACACCGCTACGAAGATGTCGCAAGGTACGAATCCAACCTAAAGGAGATGAATAAAGCCCCTATGGATATTACGCCTCGATGATTGCAGGGTCTCTCTCACCAGAAATTCTCTCGCTGCCTGGGTCTCAAGGCATCTTTTGGTCTTTTCGTTTAGCTAAGCCTTTGATCGCTTTCGTACTTTGAGCGATTTGCTAGGTGGATTTGAGAATCGCGTGACTACTATGGCCCGCGCGACATCGCTAAAAGAGCACATCCTTTCCTGTCGCTGGTAGGAATTTTGCAAAATTCTGCCCCCCTCCCAAAAAAATCCCTGCATTTTCTAGATTCCTCTTGACCTCCCTTCCCAATCAGATTACTGACTTTTTCTGACTTCCTACCATTTTTTGTTCCGAAATCTCCTGTTGTTCCCGAAAATCTGGCCTCCAGCTGACGTGGGGGGGGGAAAGTGGAGGTCGCCATCAAATAACGACTAAATTCAGCCATCGAAATTAGCAGTTCTATACTTTGCCGGAGTCAGCTGAAAGGGTCACGGTACACCTCATGTGAAACGAGAAAACCACCAACAGTCAGTAATAGAAGTTTCCAAACGATGCGGAAACTAAGAGAAATTATCTATCAAAAATATTCAGCGGCTAAATACGACCCCCCCCCCCCGTTTAAGATGTCCCAGCGCACTAAGTGCTCTGATTCCAGTCTCTGAAACTGTAACCGCATAGAAGCGCTATGTTGTGATTACGATTCGATTAATTGCAGCTGTCCAACAATTAGCGGTAGAGCACAGTCGGTCACGATTGCGTCATCCTGAATCTTTGAAGGGTGGAAGAGAAGGACCGAGGGGTAGGTTCTATGGTTGACAGACGTCCTGAAACTTATTCTCAAAACTTAGAGACTTAGCATTTACCTGATATGGGATCAACAGTGAAATCTGTCGAGCGATTCACTAACGAGTAGTAGATCTGTCCATTGATACCCTCATCAGCATCAGACGCTTCGACACGGATCACATCAGTGAAAGGAGCCGTCTGCAACCGTAAATTGAGCTAGAGCGCCAACTCGAAAATCTCTCAACTGGGGCACGGTCAAGACAATCGCAGGGGTGTCGCGCACGGTGCATTATGCGGCTGAGCGGCAAATTCTGGATGAG